ATAAGCTTTATTTTCTTGTCCAAAACTTGCTTGTTAAGAATATATTTTCTTTTTAGGCAAAAAATGAGAGAAAATGTCCATAAACAAGGTTTTTTTTACTTTCTTGAAAATCGTTTTTTGCAGTGTACCGCTGCTCCATTGAAAGTGTGCTGACATATTGCATCGGTGTGTGGTTCTCCAGCTGCACCACAGCACACAGAAAGGCACTCCAGAGGGTCATCAATATGGCCCAAAAAATCATTGGACATCCTCTTCCCTCCCTGAAGGACCTGTACAGCACTCGCTGTCTCAAGAGGGCACGCAGCATCCTACGGGACTACACACACCCAGGACACGGGGTGTTTAAGCTGCTGCCGTCTGGCAGGAGGTTCAGGCTGCTGAGGTCCCGAACATAATAGACTCAAGGACAGCTTTTACGACAGGGCAATAGCCCTGATCAATGCAAATAGCTGATCTGACTGGCTACGTACCTGGACTTTTTTTGGGGGGGTTAACAACGGTAAAAACAGTAATAATAATAATATTTATATTTATAACAAGGTGCAATAATAATTAATGTGCAATAATAATGGCGTGCAATACAAATACACTTATTAATCTTTTTTATTACTAAGTTATTATACTGTGTTGTGTTGTTTGTGTTGCGTTGTGATGTGTCGTATCGTGTCGTGTTATGTCGCAAAATCGATCAATGTAGAGCAGTGTCACAAACCACGGAGGCCCCAGAAAAGTGCAATCAAACGTTGAGTTTATTAACAGCCCGGAGATAACATCAAGATATGCCTTCTGACCAAAATACATGTTGTGGATACTTATAAAGCAGTGGGGTACACGCCCCCCCCCCCCCATGGCGTATTAAAATAGGTTCCAGGCATTAGTCACAGTTTATCGTACATCTTTACAGTTTTTACCGAATGCCTAAACACTAACTGTGAATCCTGTAGCACAATCTCTAAAACTATTCAGACTTATAGCAAAACCACTCACTGAGTTTGCAAAACTAAAAGCACAAAAACTGCTTTGCACTCAGTTTGCAATTTTGTAACACACACTTTGCAAGACTGTAGGCACAATTCACTGCACAACACTCAATTTCCAAATTTCCAACACACTCCTAGCAAAAGTATACACATGTATGGCTATCATTAACACTAATTTGCCAACTGTCTGGCACACTTTCACATGTGAAAACTTTCTTAGATAATTAGTTCACTTTGCAATCAGCCTAAGCACTATAATACAGGTAAGCTGTGTGTGCGGAGTACAATGGTGGGAGCAGAAAGAGTGAGAAGTAGAGGAGGCCGAGGAAGAGGACGTGGAGGTGAAGAAGTAGGATGAAGAGGATGACAAGGACAAGGAGGAGCAAGAGGAAGACGAGGAGGGGGCAGAAGAAGCATGTTCACTGCAGACCAAGTAACCCATATAGTCATTATGGCGATTGCAAATAATCCTATACTTGGAAATAAACACTTGTGTTTGTTTTGATGTGTTTGAATAAACAGCAGTACTTGAAGTGTGGATCCCTCCATGCTTATGGATCTATGACAGAAGTATGAGCTCAAACTGACATAGCCTACCTTGTGCACAGAGAAAGCAAACGCCAGATGTGTTTTGTATTCATACCATCAGTGTGCAGTTGGCGCATTGTGTGCTTAGTAGATGATGGCTTGTGTGTACTGTTTGATACGGAAACACCATTTTTACGAAGGTGTGAAGAGTTAATCTAGCTGTGTTTGCTTTTGCAAGAGAACTACAATGTTTTGATGATTGGGTGACAGGTTTTCTTATTTGTGTGAAGAGTTTTGCAAAATTAGCCAATAGTTACAAAAAATGTGCTTAAGCAATCAGAAAAAACTGTAATAGCTATAAACAGACATAGAACTTCTCTTTTCTATAACACCTTCCATACAAGGCAATAAACTTCAAGCCCTCAGGGTCTCTGAGGCTAATTATTGACTCTGATCATCTGTTACCAAGTAGAATAAAATATAGTAAGACACCAAATGAGTTAAGGCCTCAGGCCGGACACATTCCTAGATTATATGTATTATATGTACTGTAAGCATGCATTGCAGTTATCCTTCTATGTTCTAGTTTCCCTCAGCATGTATCACCTGGACAGTCACGCCAGTGAAGCTTAAGACCCTTAATGAACCGAACATCAACTCAAAATAAGCACAGATATGCAATGTGTATAAAATATTTCAAATTTTTACTTGTAATAAAAGTTAACATAATGGTAGGATCCTCAAATGGACATCTTCAATAAACAACTGTAATGCAGTATCAATACTGTGAGAAATATTATTAGATGAAATAATGCTGTAAAGAATGTTATTAATGCAATTATAATGATGCAGATTATATGGCAGTGTCACGTCTGACACTGTGGTCAGCAGCACAGGAGCACCACAGGGAACTGTGCTGTCCCCTCTTCTCTTCACCCTGTACACCTCTGACTTCTGCTACAACTCTGAATTATGCCATATTCAGAAGTTTGCAGATGACACGGCCATCATGGGGTGTATCTGGGATGATCAGGAAGAGGAGTACAGAAGTCTGGTGAGGAACTTTGTCACATGGAGTCACTCAAACCACCTGCAACTCAACACCTCAAAGACTAAGGAACTGGTTGTGGACTTCGGGAGGTCCAGAGAAGGTCCACTGCCGGTTCAGATAGAGGGGGAGGAGGTGGAGGTGGTCAACAAGTACAAGTACCTCGGGCTGTGGGTGGACAATAAACTGGACTGGTCATGCAACACAGAGCACCTGTATAAAAAAGCCCAAAGCCGACTGTACTTCCTCAGGAGGCTGAGGTCTTTTAACATCTGCAGGAAGCTCCTGAGGATGTTTTACCAGTCGGTGGTTGCTGGAGTACTTTTCTATGCTGTGGTGTGCTGTGGGAGCAGCACAGCAAAGAAGGACTCATCCAGGCTGGAGAAACTGATCAGGAAGGCTGGCTCTGTGGTCGGCATGAAGCTGGACACTCTGGTGACAGTGGCAGAGAAAAGGACATTAAAGAAACTGCTGGACATTATGAACAATGCTGGGCATCCTCTACACACGGCCATAAACAATCAGAAGAGTCTGTTCAGTGACAGGTTGCTTCTCCCCAAGACAAGAACTAACAGACTTAAAAACTCCTTTGTCCCACACGCCATCAAACTGTTTAACTCCTCTCTGGAGGGGAGAGGGAGGGGAAACAGGAACAGGAGGACAAAGGAGGGGGGAACAACTAAGCTGTAGTGCCTCTTCACCTCACTGTACAATACCTTTTGTGCAATACTTTTTGTAAATAGTCAACAGTGCAATAGACTCAATACTTGAAATGTGCAATTCACTTGTATTTTTATTTTTTATTCCTATTTATTCTATTTATCCCCTTTGTATATTTTATTTATATTTGTCTCTGTATTTATATATTATATGTGTGTGTGTGTGTGTGTGTGTGTGTGTGTGTGTGTATATATATATATATATATATATATATATATATATAACAATTCTGTAACTGTAACTTGGGTCGTTGCTGTGCTTTTTTTTGGAAGTCGAATTTCCCAGAGGAACCCACCCGAGGGATTAATAAAGTTCTATCTTATCTCTCTTATCTTATCTTAAAAGAATTTCTGTATCTCCACAGTTACATGTAGTGCCGACGTAGGACAGTTATCCAATTTCATTGTACTATTGTACTATGTATGACTGCGCAATGACAATAAAGAGTTATCTTATCTTATCTTCTTTCCACCGTGTGATTTTTCTGACACACTGTCACATTGTCAGTGTGTTCGGGATCGTTTTCATGCTGAAAGTGAAGATGTTGTGAATCACGCATTTTCCAGATCTTATTGCATGCTGGTTTCAAATCTTATTTACAGATATTTTGAAAATATCGCAAACACCACTGACACGGCCTACACCGTGTTTCACAGATGGCTGTAGACATTCACTGTTCAAACTCTCTTTCCTGATCTTCTCCGACAATTCGGGCCAGAAATTAAAAATTTGGATTGATCACTCCATTAGACCTCAGACTTTTCTCACTGTTTCCCTTCCTTAAGATCCTCAGCGACCCTTCCACTGAAAACATTTCACTTTCAGTTCCTGTATCAACTCTTTGCTGGATTTTTTGTTGTTTCTTAAGAACATGACTTCTAGAAAGTGTTCATCTTCTGTAAATAGGTTTTTAGGTCTGAAACTTTTTCTTTTGTCCTCCAATATTCCAGTCTCCAGGTTGACCAAGAAGTGCAATGTCTTAAAAATCATAAGTACTCAAAAAGCTGGATTAATGTAACTTGAGTTGAGATGTAACTTCACATTCAGTCAGGAAAAGATTGATGTTGCAGTCTCGGGCAGGGGGCTGCAGCTGCTCTTTATATGGATTTAAGGCTGTTGTGAGTGAGACCTGGGATTTTTTAATCAGTGGCTGCGGCTCAGGTGGTAGAGTGGGTCATCTGGCAGTCAGAAAAGCAGTGGATCAGTCCCTGAATTCTCCAGTCCACATTTCTGATTGGAAGCTCAAGCTTCAGTCCATTTTGTTTATCACTCTTCTCATTTGTGTTTATGTATATATATTTTTTTGTTTGCTTTTTGCTCGTATTGCCAGGCAGTGGAAACACTGCACACAGTTTCCCCTGTATGGAAGATTGAAGAGTCCAATTATTATTTCTCTCTTTTTGTTGATTATTTGTATAAAGGAACTTTAAACTTCCCTTCTCTCAGTTTGCCAGTCTTTTACTTCCCCCCCACTTTCACCTATATTTTAAAGTGCCACAGTGATTCATTTTTCTACCTGTTAGCCAGAGGTAACTGTAGTATTTGCTTCTTGTTTATCTCAAACAACATGCTGCCTGTCCTTTTTCTCCTTTTTATTTCCTTTGAGGGTACAGGTAAGCACATTTCTTCCATTTAATTTTAAAACAGAATCTAGAAAGTGGACTTCTAATGCTTTGTCATGAATAATTTTTGCCTCTTATTTTGTCTGCACTTATAGCCCAAAACCACACTCTGAGTTCCCCGACAGCTCCAGTGACTCACAAAGGTAATACAGACTCTGAACTTTTGGAAGGATAGATCGAATCAAATGATTGAAATTAAGCTGGTGGCTCTGTGAACCTAAACATTGCTGTGTACTGCAGTATTTTGAGCTGTTCAATAACATGTTACACCCTTCTTATGATTTAACATTTGATAATTAAAACTAAACATTAAGTGGAACAGAGGATCTGAACTATCTTTGGCATTGAAGGTAATTAAACCTGACCCAAAATATTCGACAAGACAAACATTTTATGATGACAATGGAAAGTTATTAAAGATCATCCTGTTTTAGGCATGCATATCCAAACTAAATGAGCTGCTTAACAGTTTTTCACATATTCAAATATAAACAACAAAGGGAAAACCCAGGAGGATCACCTAAGTTACTGGAATAAATCCTATGTGATCGTGTGCAGTTGACTTGCCATTCATTTTACCAGATATTACTGACATATTTTACTGAGTTTGGTCAACAGCAATGCTTTACAAATGGCACCACATTAAAAGCTAGAAGATCACTAAAGCAGTTAGGACTTCGTCTTCATCACCATGGCTTGCTTTACCTCTTATGAAGAAGAAGAGTTTTTGAATATTTCACTGGGGGGGAAAAAACTGTACAGTGGCACAAAAAGGAAAAAAAAACCATTCAAGTTCAATGACTTCATTCTCTGAATGAGTAAACCGAGTGACCAACAGACCAACACTGCTATTTCTAGAACTACATCGCTTTTGTGGTCAGCAAATAGTTTATATGTACGCATTCAGCATGCAACATCTATGTCCTGCTTAAAAATCTGATTGGTTACAGCTTTACCTCAACTTCCTGTTATTTCTGCACTCTCCTTCACAGAAACATTTCCTCCTCTATGGGTGGTGGCCATGCCGGACTACCCGGTTGCAGCAGGACAAAAAGTAAGCCTGTACTGCAGCAGTTCCATAATATCAGTGACTGGGACTTGGTCATGGGTACGCCTGCGAAATCAGACCTGGGAAAAAGAGGGAAACAGTAGGGAACTGATCCTGACCAAGCCAGAGCAAAGTGGAGAGTACCGCTGCTGTTCTTCAGTTGTCAACTGCGCAAACCAAACCCACACAGTTTACATCATTTCAACACAAACCACAGGTTGGTTATGTGTTTGTTCACACCCTAAACTTACTAAAATAAGGATGATCGAATCTGCTTATTTAAAAAATAAAAAATAAATATTAGAATTGCATAAATAGGACATAAATATATATTTATGTAGATAAATAAATGAAGAAAAAATAATAATTTGAATGGTACATTTAATTAAATACTCGACAATTTATTAATGTTAATAAATTTTAGGTGTATTTACTTGTGTTTTGAGCAATTTATATTTATTCCATAAAAACCTGGAAAAAATCTTTAAGGCTTTCACTTTTAAACTGAAATAGCGAACTGTAAAATGATTATCATACAATGGATAGCAATCATGACTGACTGGATTCATTAATCTTTTATTTATGCTGTGTGCATCATCTGGCTGTGAAGTTGCAAGTCTTAATGTCTCTTTTCTCTTTCCTCAACTCCCAACAGTGGGAGAGAATTTAGGAATAACAGCCTTCGTCTTTTCTCTTCTGATCTTGATCATCATCATCGCTGCTGTTATTTTTTTCTGGCTGGGCTTCCAAAGGACCAGTGGAACAGTGACCACCTCCAGCACTCCAGCAGTTAAAGGTATCTCTGAGCTCTTCTTGTATAGAGGGCTACAAGTATGGAGGGCAATGAGTGCCATAATCAGTATGAATTAAAATGTTTTGTGACTCTTTTTTTTTCCTTTTTCTTTAAGATGTTCCTGGACCTGAAATCACACCAACGTAAGTCTGGAGAGAAGAATCATGCACACTTCAGTCATGCACTTTAACTCTTGCTACAAGCTATTCACAGATAATATTTCTGTTTACACTAGGGGAGATCTTCCACAGCCTGACACAGACGTGTACATAAACTACACTAGCCAAGGCTACGCCGATGTGGAACCCGCCAATGTGACCTGGGAGGGTGTGTACTCAAGTCTCTCGTGAAAGGAGATCGAGACATGCAGTGGAAAGTGGACTGATTAAAACAAGCCTGTTTTTTTTTAACTCTATCTCTGGGTTAGTTATATGAAAATTGCCAGTGAGTTTACTTCCTGACTTATCAGATTTTATCTGTTGCGCAGAAGCTATCACACCATAAATGTGGTTAAAACCCAGAGAAGCTGAGTGCATCTACGCAGGCAATAGCGTTTGTACGTTTATATATTAACTGGAAGCTTCTTGTTTTTCTTCTCCTTTTAATCGTGACATTGCAAAACTGAAAAACATACAAAAGATTTTCAAATTTTAGGGAGTATTTTTGTTTTTGTTGTTTTCTACAATATATAATAACAAAAAGGTTCAAGTTAATAGAAAATACAAAATTTGCGACAACAAAAAGTCTCACATTAGAAACAATTCATTTCCACAGATACACATTAAATACACATACGTACGCTACTTCTGTCTGTTTCAGTGAATTATAAGATTTCAACACAAGACATAAATGAAGTGTCCCAACACTGAACACCAGAGAGGAAACGTACCCCAGGCATTACTGCTTTTGTTCCTTGGTGTCACAATACCTGATTTAGCTTGCCTGATGAAAAAAAATTAAAGTTGTTCTCAGAGAGGACAGACAGTGCGATTACAACACATGTTGCTGACATAACATCAGACGTGTAGAGATAAGGTGTACCCACACATGTATGTTATTCTGTCATTTTCTCCTGCTTTTGTGTCCTAATGTTGTGTCAAACACCGCCACAGGATTTCTGTGAGAAGATGTCTTGTGTCATCATCGAGTGATGCTATTGTTCTTTAAAGATACATAAAGTTTTGGCTGCTTGCAAAACTTCTGCTTTTCGGTTTGTTCTTCACACAGGAAGTGCAGAAATTCTGGGGCAACTCAGAAGGCGACGTGTTCGAGATCACATGAAGTTAAACAGTTTATTGTCCCAGATGTGCATGCCTCAACACCTTATTGTATGTAATCTTCGCCATCAGCATGAGAGAGTCACATGAGTTTGATAGTCAGATTTTAGACATGTATTGAACTTGTATGAATCACTCATCTCTGGTCAGCTAGTGCTCGCTTGGGAGTCTCTGACTTGGAATCCTGCTATCCATGGAAATCTGTGTGGTGGCCATTTGAGAGCATCCCTCTCCCTTTGCTAATTTTTTAATGTGGGCTGTGATGAACCTTCTAAACTTCCCTGTGGCAAAATAATAAACTACAGGATCCAAAATGCAGTTGAGGCCCATAAGAACCAGGGTGATCTGATGAGCGTCGTTCAGCAACTGACGAGTGGTCTTGCTGTACTTCACGTGGCCGAAGCCGTCTTTAATCTCCAGCACTGCCAGAGCCCAGGGGCCTTGAACTATATGGTGTGGCAGGAAACACAGGACAAACACTCCTACCACTGCCCACAACATCTGGAGAGCCCTCCGTTTCACCCCTCTGGGCCTTTTTAAAGTCGAGGATGCAGTGGACTTTTTAGAAAGAGCTGCTGAGGACCGAATTTCTGATTCTGGAGGCCTTTGAGAAATTAACACTCGAGCAATAAGGATATTGCATATCACAACGAGCAAAAAGATACCAAAGAACAATCCAATTATTAAAAAATGAGTGACAGCCACTTTTTTCTTCTCATAATTAGTTTCACCCTGGTATCCCTCAAAGCAGCGAAGGATCTTCGTGTTGTTTTTAAAGTGCTCGTTGGTCCCTGGACTCACCAGATAAGGGACAGACATCGCCAGAACAAATGCCCAGATAAAAACACAGACGATGATTCCACGAATTCTGTGGTCCGAAGAGGCTGCGTCTAGAGGCCGAGTCACCGCCCAGTATCTGTTGATGCTGATGGCTGAAAGGAAGAGGATGGTGCCGTAAGTGTTGATGAAAAAGAAGGTGCCTGTCACCCGGCACATGACGTCTCCATAAACCCAGTCTCCCTCACGGATATAGTAATCAATCCAAAAGGGAAGAGCACACACAAACAGAAGATCAGCGATGGTCAAGTTGGTCATGTAGATACGGATTTCTCCCATGGCCTTGGCTTGACGAAGGCAGCGCAGGACAAACAGTACGTAGAGGTTAGAGATGAAGCCCAGGATGAAGAAGCCGATGTAGAAAACCGGGATGAACACATAACGAAACTGAGAGTCCAGGAAAGTGGATTCATCGGTATTCCCTATAGTTTCATTCATCTTTGCCTGTGGGAGACAACATATATTATCATCAGTACAATGGTTTACTCAGACTTTTGATGCAGATGACAAAGGTAGGGTATATTAGAAAGTAGAATCTTTGAGAACAACTACTTTTTGTGATATTTCAATTTCAGTATAGAGAAAAAACAAAAAAAGTAAATGAGTAAGAAAGATTTAAAATAAAGAAAGAGGGCACTTTCCTTGCTGCAAGGACTAAGTTATCTATCACCTTTTATTGGCACAAATGTATTTACCAGATAAATTATTAGCCATTCCATACATTTATTGTATTAATTAATTTCTTGTTATCTGAGCACATCTTCTGAAATTGTCAGGTAATTCTAAACAGTCTGAGAAGTCTTAACATTTCTATGTGCTATGAATCATATGTCCCAAATTGATGTAATGGCACAGAAGCATGATAAGTTTTAAACTGGAGACCATCTTGCCAGGAAACAACAGAAGCATGAAATCACTGAGTTGCTGGACCGCACCCATATTTGAACATACGCTTCATGTGAAGTTTTGTGGCCGTGTTTTGCACAGCTGTAGTTTTATCATAGTAATATAATCTGTGTCCAAACAAATACCTCAACACTCTGTATAAAAGGGCCTGTTGGGACTTTATCTGCCATAGACTTCTTATTACTCATCTAAGATCTAACTCTCAGTCAAAGTCTTTATAGGTAGAGTCATTAATCGGCATCTTGCAGTAACACTATACATCATGAAGCCTTTAAAAACTCAGTTGCAGACCACGAGGGAAAGATTGAGGTTGGATTTGTGACTGTTTTATGTTCATTTTATCTTTGGTTTTGCCACTAAGACTAAAATGGTTATAGAACTTGAAGCTGCTGATAGTGATCACTCTGGCATGACTTGAATTCATTCAAAGACAAGCATCAGAATTAAAACTGAAAGTAGTGCAAAAGGTCAAAGATTGAAAAAAGATGTGGTTCTCAGACTTTAATCTGCTGTAAAGGAGCTGACACTGATTGGAGGTGCAAACTCTAAACACCTAAAGATGTTCGAGGAGAATCTGTCACTGAACAATGGGATTTCACTCGGTGGGGCGAATGTGTGAACAACAAATTACAGACAACAAGCTTGACACCCACTTACAATAAAGAACAGTAGTCCAACAGTAAATGAGCTGTGACGCTGTTTGATAAACTGACACACCCTTGTTACTGGGAAATAACTGACACTGCTAAATACTATCAGCTTGTGAACAAATTTAACTGAGTACCATTTTTACAGCACTTTTTTCTGAATAAGTGCCATAGGTGTTTATTTTATAACCTGTTTGGATCTGTCTTATGCAGATCTGTTCAGAGAAACCTGTTTAATGGTTTCCTCTGAACAACCAATAACCTCATAACCAGTCAAGGAGTGTGAAATACAAACATTTCCTTTTGTCAACTATTAATCATCAATTTAATATTGATTTAATTAATCACAGCATTGTAAAGACTGTGGACCCCCCCCCCCCCCCCAAAAAAAAAAAAATAAATAAATAAATAAATAAATCCATTTATAGATTTGAGTAGAGCAGCAGTTAATTCACAAACAAATTTTTTCCAAGCAAAATAAAAACTGAACGATTTGTGAAAATAAGGATGCTTTTACCTTTGCTGTCTTCTCTTCTTGACTAAAACATATTATTAGACCGATGATTAATATCCTCACTCACTTTGTCACGTAAAACGATAAATAACAAGGAAAACTGTACACTTACACAACTGCTTCTTCTGTTTTCAGTCTCCTGATGCGCGTAAACACTTTGAATGGATTTACAGCTTCAGTTCAGCAACAGTGCGACTTCTCTGAGAGAGAGGGGGTTTGTGCGTCTTGTGAGCGTGTGAGTGGGAGTGTTCTCTCTGGGCAGAGCGGAGGAGGTGTCGTTTCAGTCTTCTTAGGAAAGACCCGAGTTGCGCAATACAAGGAACATTAAGCTATACGATTTCACGATTCCCGTGAAAAGGAATAGGAACCCCCGCTTTAATGCAACGCTGGAGTTTTAACATTTTTTTCCATAGAAACATCACGTGCGCGATATGAGTAAAGGAATCAGGAAACTATGTCCTAGGGGCTAATTAAAATCAGCAGAGAAAGAAAAGATTTTTCTGAGTTATAGAAATGAACTGCAGAGGAATTTCGTCATGACTGCGACATGCTGATGAGACATGAAGTGATATACAGTTATTATGTTATTATAAGTCTGCGTATGAAAACTTACATTTTACTCATGTATCCGTTCAAACAATGCAACAATTCCAATTTCAAGAATCACGAACTGGGAAGTCGCGTAGGCTGATGCTGCATTCAATGGATAGTTTATCTTGTTGTGGTTTTTAAATGCTTCAAATGTGCCCCCAATCTGATGTGAACAAGTGAGCAGACAAAAGAAGTTGCCTTTTTGTGTATTTATTTAGAATATTAAAAATGCAAAGTGAACTGATAATACTAGAATCTTGTTCCACATTTTCAACACACACTAGATTCCTCCATCTACATCCATCCATTTTGTCTTGAACATTTTGTACATAGCTACTAACGTTTTTCAATTAGTTTGGGTCGCAAAATGTGGTTGAAACATTATTTATTTTGTTAAAAAGGTTTTGCATTTGCTTTCATTTATCAAAATCACTGGCATCCCCAAACGTGGACATGAGATGTCCTTCAGCAGTGTTCAGTGTGAAAACCACAGCAAGACTAGACCTGTCCAGTAGTTTTGGTGCCTAAGCATGTCCCACCAGCTAGTGTGAAACAACGAAATACTGAGTGGAAGCCTGATTTCTCCATGTTTAGTTCAGCATCACTTTACTAAGAATAGTTATTCCCCTGCAAATCCTGTGAATGTCTTTTTTTGGTGGTGTTTGAGAAATTTGCAGCCTTCTCCTCTATTTGGCATTGTTTCTTTTACGAATTTCTTTAGAAAAGAGAATCTAATAGTTCTCACATTCACAGCCACAAGCCTCACTCTGCTGTACAAGGGCAAACAATGTTATACACTGGTGATTGTAATTGTTTCGTACTCAGAGTGCTCAGAGCTGGAAATATCAAAGTTCAAATACTGTTAGTAGAATTTTAGTAGAAGTTTCAGGTATCAATATTGTACTTGAGTATTTATTTTTCTGACAGTTTTTTATATTTATTCCCCACATTTTACCACAAATATCTGTATTTTCTACTCCTTACATCTTCAAAATAGGCTCATTACATAAGTTTAACACGTTTGAGGAAAGTTTTTATTTAACAGAATAATACAGACACAACAGTGCAATATAATGTGCAAAAGACTGAGTATTGTGCAAAAAGTAACTAGTTGTATGAATGTGTGTGTGTATAAGATTCTGCAGATGAGTGCTTGGTAGTGACGTGTATGAAGGTATGCGTGTGTTTTTGTCATTCCCGTCACTGAGTGTTCAGCAGTCTGACGGCCTGGGGGAAGAAGCTGTTTCACAGTCTGGCAGTGAGGGCCCGAATACTCCGGTACCTCTTGCCAGAAGCCAGCAGGGTGAAGAGTGTGTGAGAGGGGTGTGTGGGATCCTCCACAATGCTTTGCGGATGCAGCGAGTCTGATAGGTGTCTGTGATGGCTTCAATAATCTTCTCCGCTGATCTCACCATTTGTTGTGGGGTATTGTGGTTTGATACGCTGCAGTTACCATATCAGACAGTTATGCAGCTGCTTAGAATGCTCTCGATAGTCGCTTTGTAGAAGGGGGTGAGAATGGGTAGTGGGAGATGGGCTTTTCTCAGCTTCCGCAGGAAGTAGAGACGCTGTTGGGCCTTCATTTACCATTACCATTCTTAATTATGCAGCTGGTGCTGAGGGACCGGGAGAGGTTCTCCGCCAAGTGAACATCAAGGAATTTGGTGCTCTTGACGACTTCCACAGAGGATCCATTGATGTTAAGTGGACAGTGATCTCTCCATTCTCTCCTGAAGCCAACAACCATCTATTTTGTTTTGTCCATGTTCAGAGACAGGTTGTTGACTCTACACAGGGGCGATCGTGGCTCAAGAGTTGGGAGTTCGCCTTGTAATCGGAAGGTTGCTGGTTCAAGCCCCAGCTTGGACAGTCTCGATCGTTGTGTCCTTGGGCAAGACACTTCACCCGTTGCCTACTGGTGGTGGTCAGAGGGCCCGGTGGCGCCAGTGTCCGGCAGCCTCGCCTCTGTCAGTGCGCCCCAGGGCAGCTGTGGCTACAATGTAGCTTGCCATCACCAGTGAATGTGTGAATGTGTGTGTGAATGGGTGGATGACTGGATATGTAAAGCGCTTTGGGGTCCTTAGGGACTAGTAAAGCGCTATATAAATACAGGCCATTTACCATTTACAGGTCCATTAGCTGTTGCACCTCCTCTCTGTATGCTGACTCATCGTCCTTACTGATGAGACCCACCACAGTCGTGTCATCGGCGAACTTGATAATGTGGTTTTAACTGTGCATTGCTGCGCAGTCGTGAGTCAGCAGAGTGAACAGCAGTAGGCTGAGCACACAGCCCTGAGGGGCTCCAGTGCTCAGTGTGGTGGTGTTGGAGATGCTGTTACCGATCTGGGCTCTCTGAGGTTTCTCTGTCAGAAAGTCCAGGATACAGTTTCACAGGGAGGTGTTCAAGCCCAGCAAGCTCAGTTTTCCAATCAGGTGCTGAGGAATGATTGTGCTGAATGCTGAACTGAAGTCTATGAATAGCATTCGTATATATGTGTCTTTATTGTCCAGGTGGGTGACAGCAAGATGTAGGGTGGTGGCGATGGGATCATCTGTTGACTGGTTTGGGCGATATGCAAACTGCTGTGGGTCCAGCGTGGGTGGCAACCTGGTCTTAATGTGAGTCATGACGAGCCTCTCAAAGCACTACATCATGATGGGAATCAGAAAAATAAGACGGCAGTCATTGAGGCAGGACACTGGGGACTTCTTTGGCATAGGAAAGAGGGTGGTGGCCTTGAAGCAAGTTGGGACAGCAGCAGTGCTCAATGAAGCTCTCACCCAGGGATGTTATCTGGACCAGCAGCTTTCTGAGAGTTAACTCTGCAAAGAGACACAGAACCTGACACACCAACACGCCATTCTGAGTGTCAAACTGTTCATAGAAGTTGTTCAGCGCATCTGGTAGGGAGGCGTCACCCTCGTAGGCAGTTGTTGTCTTCCTGTAGTTGGTGATGGCCTTGATGCTGTGCCACATGATGGAGTTACAGTCATGTAAACAGCGCTGTAAAATGGGCCTGCCGGCGGGTCCATGGTAAATGAAGAGTTAAACGGACAATTAAAACACATTTGCATGTATATACATATTAGCCACCTAGCTTAATCGTTTCTGGCTATTAAGGACCCTGGAATGTACTTCATAAATTTATCCGTAAGTTTGATCGTGCTACTTCTATAGCTAGCTAGCTCTACAGAAGAGGAGCAGGAATAAAGGGAGTATAGCTTTTTAAGTAGGAGCCCATTTTAGATGCAATGTTTCTTGAGATTAACAAATAAGAGCAAACACACAAACTGGTTCAATGCAGTTAATCTCCTAGTTTGTCTGATAGCTAAAAGTAGAGCTGCTGTAATTCAAAGTGAGAAAAGAGTGAGCAATAACCTCACTCAGAGATGGAGAGAGATGTAAGTCAGGAGAGGAAGAAGAGAGGTTATATTTAAAAGTAAGGACTGCTCAGTAGCATTTGATAAACTGGAAATTTAAAGCTGTGTTTTGTAAAACAAACTGAGGTATGCTAAATTTGTGTTGTTCAACAGTTGCATGAAAATACAAGGCAGTGTTGTGAAGGATAAACAGGTTAGTTTGCTGTTCTGTGGTGAATATGCAATGATGCATTGTGTTTTGTGACTGTTGCACAGCCATGGTCAGAGTTGATTAACAGATATCTCCCTGTTGATGTTGTACTTGTATCATCAAAATAATGTTGCTCCAGGATCAACACTGAAACTGACCAATCAAGTTGTTGTGATGTAATAGGGGGGAAAAGGACAAAATGCTCTTGTTTCTGAAACAAATGGTAAGCATCTAAAGTGTTTTCTTTATATACTTACGCAATATAACAAACATATTGTGATTCTTTCCCCCATGCTGAGCCACTGCAACCAATCTTAGAGTTGCCAAACTTTGCGTAGATATAGATGTAACACTGTCTGTGAGGCCGGATTTAAGAAATAAGTGCTTAAAATTAACATTTTTAGAACGTGTTTAGCACCATCTTGTGCTAGTACAGAACATCACATCACCGAGTGAAGGTTGGTTGAGGTTACTGAACTTACATAAACTTTGCTAACTAGTGATAGAACCAATAACTCAGTGGAAAACAAGGGGACTAAAACGAACAAGCACTCTGTACCGGCCCTGACTCCATTAGTTTTACTTTAAGAAACTGAGGATATACTGTCTCTTACTAAGTCTCTTACTTTCTTTCAAGATAAAGCAGGTCTTTAATTTGCCCAAATTAAAACCAGAGTCGTTTTAAGTTTCTGGGATGGGTTTTTTTTTGGCTGTTTTTTTTTTAATCTTCTGCATCATACATTTCATTAATGTCTGTGATTAATTTACAAGCTGCCAGGCATCTAATTTCACATGTTTCTGTCTCATCAGTGAGTCATAATTGAAGCTATTAGTCATAATGATGACAGTTAATCAGCTAGTTTAAATAAAGATCCGATTGATGTTTTGTTTGATTTCATTAGCATATTTTCATCACTCCAAATATAACACATCAAAGATGTCCACAGGCATTTTGTGGGACAGTTTTTGTTTCTTTGCCTTCATTTAATGTTGACAAAACATAAAAATGATATAGCAACATATACAAATTCACCCTGTACCTGTACATCTTTTTTACTGAGAGAAGTTCAGGAGGCAATTTATCAGTTCACATTATTTTAGGTAACAATTTAGAGATTCAGGATGCACAACTGTGGAGCTCTCAGTGTCAGGACACAGAGAACTGGAGAACAATTCGTAATTCAAAGCACATATTAGACACATTGAAACAGAAAACATTTGTGGGGAGAGGCCCTGGTTTAGACTTAGCGCTCCCTGATTTGTTCTCCTCGTAGTCCTTCCTCATGGCAATGGTCTTTGACCTCCAGTCAGGGATCCTGTCCTGTGTGACTCCTCCCTACTCTACAGTTGTTATTGTTACTGTAGTTTCATTTCCATGCAGTTGTCAGCTTTACCAACAACTATCATCACTACTGGAACAGGATGTTATCATACACCCACACACGGCTTGTAAGCGTTTAACAGTTTCACTTTCAACACTTCACACTCCTGTGTCTTAGTCAACCCTTCACACTGTGAGGGTAATGCTTTATCCTTCTAACAAGGAGTGTTTCCACAGGTTACCACAAGCATTCAGTTCCATCAAGTAACTCTTTTACACGGGTTGGGAACTCCAGGCCTCAAGGTCCGGTGTCCTGCAGGTTTTAGATATCACCCTGGGTCAACACACCTGAATCAAATGATTAGTTCATTACCAGGCGTCTGCACAAGCTCTCCACCCCTCTATTAAGTGAAGAAAAGGTTAACCCTCATTGTAGGCATTCAATCAGAATGGAAGAAATTAATAAAGGCCGAGGTCATCTGATCAAATTAGATTTCATGTTTTTATTTACAAAAACTTTCAGAGAGAACAACTTCCACAAGATGATGTGTCATAAATGACATATTTCTTGTATTTATATTAAAACCAGTTATTGGTACAGGTCCGTTAGAGGTATAGGTCAATATGTACAACACTGTGAAAAAGTCTTGAGCTACAGCTTGTTTCCTTATATTTTGAAAAAGAAGATGGACAAGGGCAGAGGTTAATTGAAGTATGTGCAAATATGCATGAAAATACAGTATAAAAGGCAAAACACGAGTGTCCATAATTCTAACAACAGCAAAAGTTAATATTTTACAATACCACAATTATTCTTTAATACACCTTAAATACTCTTTAAGTAATCTTCAGGAATAGTTTCCATGTTTCTTCAAAACTTTGGATGTTGACTCTCAGAATGATCCCACATCTTTACGGGATGTTAGTGCAGTTTGAAGATCACACTGCTTTCTTTACAGCCACTGAGATAAGTGAGCAATACTGCATTTAAACCACATGATGGAGGCAGAGACTAATAAAAGCACAGTAGGGGAGTCTTTCAAGAAGGCTCTATACAGTGGATTGTGAACTGCGTGAACCACCGCTCTGACTCACTGTAGATTTAAGCAGCACCAGCCTCCCTCTGTGGTAAATGGTTAACTCCACGTGTACAAGCACACAACACCATATATCCTCCTCTCCCTGATTCCAGAGTATAATTCCTAGAATAAGGCTAACAAGCCTCTCCAACCTTTAATGTGGACATGCTCTCCATTTCATCTCTGTCATGAAATGGAGAGAATCTTATCTGAGATGTGGTTTGGTTCAAAATCCTGGATCAGTGAGATTTTTGAAAATACTTTATAAAATAACCAATGAGTTCCTCCTACCATGTTGACTTTGGTCCTCCACCCCAGCCGTTGTGGGTTTCCTATGAGGCCTCTGATTTGCTACCAGAGTGCAAACAGGTGATGCAGGCTGGTTTAAGTGGTAGCTCCGAGTTTGGGTGAATGTGATTAATTTTGTAATGTGGGCCTTGATGAGTCCTCTAAACTTCCCTGTGGCAAAATAATAAACTACAGGATCCAAAATGCAGTTGAGGCCCATAAGAACCAGGGTGATCTGATGAGCGTCGCTCAGCAACTGACGAGTGGTCTCGCTGTACTTCACGTGGCCGAAGCCGTCTTCGATCTCCAGCACTGCCAGAGCCCAGGGGCCTTGAACTATGTGGTGTGGCAGGAAACACAGAACAAACACTCCCACCACTGCCAGCAACATCTGGAGAGCCCTCCGTTTCACCCCTGTGGGCCATTTAAATATGGATGTCACAGTGAGCTTTTTAGACTGTGTTCCTGAAGACTGACTTTCTGACTGAGGAGAATTTTTACAAACTAAAATTCGAGCAATAAGGACATTGCATATCACAATGAGTAAAAAGACAACAAAAAACAATCCAATTATTAGAAAATGAGTGACAGCCACTTTTTTCTTCTTGTCATTAGTTCCACCCTGGTATCCCTCAAAACAGCGACGTATGTCAGTGTTGTTTTTACGGTGCACGTTGATCCCTGGACTCACCAGAAAAGGAACAGAAATCGTCAGAACAAACACCCAGATACAAATACAAACAATGATTCCACGAATTCTGCGGTTTGACGAGGCTGCGTCTAGAGGCCGAGTCACCGCCCAGCATCTGTTGATGCTGATGGCTGAAAGGAAGAGGATGGTGCCGTAGGTGTTGATGAAAAAGAAGGTGCCTGTCACCCGGCACATGACGTCTCCATAAACCCAGTCTCCCTCATGGATATAATAGTCAATCCAAAAGGGAAGAGCACACACAAACAGAAGATCAGCAATGGTCAAGTTGGTCATATAAATGTGAATTTCTCCCATGGCCTTGAATTGACGAAGGCAGCGCAGGACAAACAGCACGTAGAGGTTAGAGATGAAGCCCAGGATGAAGAAGATGATGTAGAAAACCGGGATGAACACATAACGAAACTGAGAGTCCAGGAACGGACTCTCAGTGGAATTAATGGTTGTGGACTCCACACTACTCATCGTTGTCATAGTAACTGATTGAGTCATCCTTGTCTGTGGGAAACAAAATACATTACCATAAATACAGTGTCCTGTGACAGATGAGCAGAGTTTTGATGCAGATGACAAAGGTAAAGCGTACAATGGAGGGAAAAGCCTTTGAGAATAACTTATTTTTGTTGTCCTTCCATTGAAGGCAGGTATAATAAATAAAAGCAACAAATAAATAAAAACAACAGTAAATGACTACAATAGGTTTAAAATAATGAAAGTAACAAGCAATAACATTTCTCCTGCTTCAAGGACTAAGTTGTGTATCAGTATTTATTTGTAAAAATGTATTTACCAGTCAAATATTGTGTCCCTTTCATCACCTTTTTAGCCATTAAATTAATTTAAGATGTATTAATGTATACACCAATCAGGCATAACATTATGCCACCTGCCTAATGTTGTGTTCCTCCCCCTTTTGCTTCTAAAACAGCCATGAACCATCCAGGCATGGAATCCACTAGACCCCCAGAGGTGTGTATCTGGCACCAAGACAGTAACAGATCTTTGAAGTCCTGGATGAAGTCATGGATCTGACTTGTTTGTCCTGGAGAACTCACAAGATGCATGACTGGATTGAGATCTGGTTAATTTTGAAGCCAAGCCAATACTTCAAACTTGTTGTTGTGCCTCTCAAACCACTGCTGAACCATTTTTGTGTTGTGGCAGGGCGCTTTATCCTGTGTTGGGATGGAATTATTTGAAGTGCCTCAATTCTATGCTTTATATTAACTAAAATGCCAAATAACCATATAGCGTGGTATTAAGTGGACACGGCCCTGAAAATAAAGGCAATAGACTATACATCATGAAGCCTCAGTTGTAGACCATGAGGGAAAGACTGGGGTTGGATTTCTGACTTGTTTATGTTCATTTTATTGCTTACGCTAAAGTGATTACAGAACTAGAGATCTCTCTCACGTGGCCTGAATTCAGTCAAAGATAAACGTCAGAATTAAAACAGAAAGTAGTGCAAAAAGGGTCAAAGGTTGAACCAGGACGTGGTTCTCAGACTATGAACTGCTGTAAAACAGCTGACACTGAATCACAGTGCAAACTCTTACAACCTAAATACATACAAGGAGAATCTGTCACTGAACAAGCTTGAAACCCACTTACGATAAAGAACAACAGTCCAACAGTAAATAAGTAGATAATAATCTCTGTTTGTTGTTAGTTTTACTGTATTTTTTTCTGAATATGTGCCACACTGAAATTACTGTAATTGCTTTATCAATGGTTAGTTGATGTTACATGACCTGCTGTGATAATATATCCTCTGTGTCATTTTAAAAGAAAAATTACAGAAAGAACCGTACACTTACCGTCTGCTTCTTCTGTTGATTAATGAATTTACAGCTGCAGTTCAGCAATAGCATGACTTCTCTGACAGAGAGGGAATTTATGCATCAGACTGTGTGAGTGGGAGTGTTCTCTCGGGGCAAGACGGAGGAGGTGTCGCTTCAGTCTTCTTAGGAAAGCCCCAAATGGTCCAAAATACGTAAAGTTCACCTCCACAGTTTCATACACCTGACAATAACAAGCACCAAGAAGAACAACAACAAAGAAATAATGTTACCAAGTAAAGAAATGAGCTGCTTACACAGGAAAACTGGCCCTTAAAAAGGAGAATGTCTGGCACATGCTGATACGAGACATAAAAATGTGGGGGTTATAGTTGTTAGTTTGTGTATGAAAAGTCACTGCCACTATTCACAGATCTTGGTTACATGTAATTTTCTTTAAAAAAAAAAATGCTGCAAAATGTGTTACCGATTATTTTAAATCACCCTAAAATAAAACAGGAACCAAAGTAGGAGCAGGCCCTGTGTCGCTGTGCCATCTTCTTCCATCATATACATAAGCATAAACTTACAGAAAGAAGGAGGAATATATTATTTAGAAATAGTGTAAAAACTTTACCGTGAACAGGTGTATCTGCCAAACACTGAGCTTCTCTTGTCTATCAGGCCGTCACCTGCCGAGGGAATTCCCGCAGATCAACGTCACCATTAATTACGTCCATCCGAAAGCAAATTCGAAGATTGCGACTGACACCCCCGTGTACTCGCTCCAATCCCTCTGTCCCGAGGCCCCTAATGTTATTCTGTTGGACTTTAATTACTGTAATTTGAAGAAAACACTGGGCACTTTCTATAAATATGTCAATTCTCCTACACGCTTCTGGATCTTTGTTATGGTTCCATTAAAGGTGCGTATACATCTGTGGCAGGCCCCGCACTCAGATCCTCTGACCAAAACACGGTGCATCTCCTGCCTGTTTATAGGACTGTGCTACGGAGAGAGAAGGCGAGGAAACACCCCACAAAAGTATGATAACAACGTCTCTTTAGACCTGCAGGGCTGCTTTGCCTGCACTGACTGGTCGGTGTTTACAGAGTCATCCGAAAACATTAATGAACTGATCAACGTTATCTGCAGCTTTTGTAGAGATATGATTATTCCTTTAAAAGTTGTGCATAGTTTTCCCAAATAACAAACCATGGTCTTCGAGGCTGATTCATGAAAGGAAGACAGCTTTTATTGAAGGGAATATCTCTAAGGTAAAAAAAAAATTACAAAGGAGATATGAGTTTGTTTCTTGGTGTTATCAGTCGTTTTTAAATTTCAACACCTTGAAAACTAAGGACATGGTAATTGAATTCAGGAAGCCATCCCCTCATCGTGCAATGAATGGTGCAGCCATTGAACTGGTGGCTAGCTATAAGTATTTGTGGGTTATTCTTGTTATTGCTCTGTCCTTTGAGTCACATTTTGCTGCTACATTGAAAAAAAATGTCCAACAACGACTGTATTTTTTTAAGGAGATTGAGAGTTTTTAATGTTTCATCTGCAATGATGACCCTTTTTTATGAAAGTTTTATTGATTTAATATTTTGTATCATTGCTTGGTACCGATATTTGTCTTTAGACCAGACTTGGTCTGGACTCCAGAGCACTGAGATTAAGCTAACTGGTAGCAAGAGCCACCTTTCAAACTGACTCAACAGTGGACATCTAGGCATGGTGTGAGTTGTGTGCGTCGCTAAAGAACTGTAAGATTGATTCCTGCCTGGAAAGGACAGTCTTGAGCCTTTTATGTCATTTAGGAAATCTGCTTATGTAGAAGACATCTGTACTTGTGAATAAGCGAGCAGTGAAAAGAAGTTCTCCATGTGTGCGTCTTAGAATATTAAAAATGAGAAGGAATCTGATAATACTAGAATATGAATCATGTCAGCATAAAAAATGTTAAAAGTGGGAAAGCACAAAGGATACAGAACATCTTCTCATTTGTCAACACCAACCACATTCCTCCATTCATTTTATCTTTCAGAATATTACTATACTTACTCAACTGGCCCTCAGTTATCATCATGTGCTTTCACTGTAGGCATTCAATCAGAATGCAAGGATTTAATAAAGGCAGAGATCCTCTGATCAAATTTGATTTCATGTTTTTATTTACAAAAACTCATATACATTTCAGAGGGAACCCTGCAAATGTTTAAAGGTAAGAAAAAGAAGTCCTTTCTTTAAAAAAAGGTTTCACCAGTGGGTGACCATGACAATAAGATCCTCAGTGATGAGGAAATATTACAAAAAAACCAACATGTGATGCAGGTGAAAGGGAAGAAATGGCAAAGAAGAATGACAGAAAAAGCATGTGCAAATATGCGTGAAAATACATTATAAAAGGCAAAAATAGAGTGCCATAATTCTAACAGTAAAAGTTAATATTTTACAATGCCACATTTATTCTTCAATACACCTTGAATTCCAGGTTTCTTGTAGGCCATTCAAAACATATTTGGATGTTGACTCTCAGAATGATCCCACATCTTTACAGGATGTTAGTGCAGTCTGAAGATCACACTGCTTTCTTTACAGCCACTGAGATAAGTGAGCAATACTGCATTTAAACCACGTGATGGAGGCAGAGACTAATAAAAAATAAAAGCACAGTGTCATTTTAAGCTTCACCAGCGTCCCTCTGTGGTAAAGGTTTAATTCCATCTGCATGTACAAGCACACAACACAATGAATGCTCCTTTCGTCTATCCCTGATTGCAAAGTATAATTCCTAGATTAAGCCTCTCCAACCTTTAATGTGGATATGAAACACTACATGTATAAAGGCAAATTTACACCATGGAGCACTACTCTAAACAACTGTCATATATTTAACTCTGTCTATGGAGCTGGATATTTCTTAAAGGTTGAAGGTTTTAAAGCATGTTTAGTGCCACCTTGTACCAGTTAAGAACATGACATCACTGGGTTGGTTGGTTGCAGATGTGAACAGTGCAGAGGACAACCTGTCTGAGTCACCAGACAGGAAAGCTGGAATCCAACACACCAGCTTTTCACCAGGCTTGGAAAAATGTACTGTCTATTTTCTCTGTCTCTTTAGCGGTAAGTTGTTCTTCATTGCCTTTGTCCAACACTGACATCAATTAATTCCCCCTATGGACATGCTGATGAATCTTAGGATTCCCGATCGTGCATCGATAAGAAACTTAGTTATGTTTGTGGAATGACACAAATATACTAACCTGTTATGTTGTAAACTGTTTGGATGTAATTGAGAAAAAGATAATTTTATTCCATAAAATAGTGCTTCTTGCATCTAGCGCACATCTGCGCTTCTATCTGATTGCACCGTTCGGTACACCCAACCCAACAAAAGAAAATCAGTGTCTGACTCTAGCTTGTCGGTTCAGTGAACCACCAGTGCACCTGACTATAACAGCCTCTCCTTCACACAGTCCTCATTTATAAAGTGGTCTACAAACTCTAGCCTAACAGCTAACAGCTAGCTACCAATGAAAACTACTGGTAAATTGACAGAGTGAAAGTAGAAAGTACTTCCTTCGTTTACAGTTTTTTCTGAATGCTTAAACCCTAACTGTGATTCCTGTAGCACAATCTCTAAAACTATTCAGACTTATAGCAAAACCACTCACTGAGTTTGCAAAACTAAAAGCACAAAAACTGCTTTGCACTCAGTTTGCAATTTTGTAACACACACTTTGCAAAACTGTAGGCACAATTCACTGCACAACACTCAATTACCAAATTTCCAACACACTCCTAGCAAAAGTATACACATGTATGGCTATCATTAACACTAACTTGCCAACTGTCTGGCACACTTTCACATGTGAAAACTTTTTTAGATAATTAGTTCACTTTGCAATCAGCCTAAGCACTATAATACAGGTAAGCTGTGTGTGCGGAGTACAATGGAGGGAGCAGAAAGAGTGAGAAGTAGAGGAGGCCGAGGAAGAGGACGTGGAGGTGAAGAAGTAGGATGAAGAGGACGACAAGGACAAGGAGGAGCAAGAGGAAGACGAGAAGGGGGGAGAGGAAGGGTAGGAAGAGTAAGAAATAGAATTGCTGATGACATCAGAGCTACAATAGTGGACCATGTAATCAACCGTGGAATGACCCTGAGGGTAGCTGGCCAACGGGTCCAGCCTAACTCGAGCCGCTACACTGTAGCAAGTACCATAAGGACATCTTGAAAAGAGAATCGGTTAGTACAGTCACTTCGCACAAAGATTTGTAGCACTGCCATATGCCAATGAGAAACACACCAATACCATTGATGTAAAAATACTGAAATTGTTACTTTACAGAGTTGCTAGATGACCAGATGCTGGGGGCAGAGGAAGCATGTTCACTGCAGACCAAGTAACCCATATAGTCATTATGGCGATTGCAAATAATCCTATACTTGGAAATAAACACTTGTGTTTGTTTTGATGTGTTTGAATAAACACCAGTACTTGAAGTTTGGATCCCTCTATGCTTATGGATCTATGACAGAAGTATGAGCTCAAACTGACATAGCCTACCTTGTGCACAGAGAAAGCAAAAGCCAGATGTGTTTTGTATTCATACCATCAGTGTGCAGTTGGCGCATTGTGTGCTTAGTAGATGATGGCTTGTGTGTACTGTTTGATACGGAAACACCATTTTTACGAAGGTGTGAAGAGTTAATCTTGCTGTGTTTGCTTTTGCAAGAGAACTACAATGTTTTGATTATTAGGTGACAGGTTTTCTTATTTGTGTGAAGAGTTTTGCAAAATTAGCCAATAGTTACAAAAAATGTGCTTAAGCAATCAGAAAAAACTGTATTATCATCAGACTCACTGCTGCAGCCAGGGGCAGTACAAATGTGATTCCCTTAGACTGCATTTTGATTTTAGTCTCTTTGTTTTCCTCTGAGTTTTTGGTTCTGTCACTAGTTAGCTAACATAACCTAATATAAGTCTGTTAGCGGCAACCAACCTACCTGTAAACATGCTCTACAAAATTTAACTTTAAACTATTATTTCCTAAATCCAGCTTCACAGACGTGCTACCTCATTGTT